TTGTGCCGTGTATGTGACGAATGCATGCGCTAAAACTTGTATGTTTTAACGGAAGTGAGTGGCGGTATAAGCTTCCAGCACCCAGCAGACCTTGGCAGCTGTTACATGTATACATTTACATCGATAAACCTAGCTAATGTGCGTGCGTGCGTGCGTGCGTGTGCGTGCACAACAGGGCGTGCGTTCGCCTGGATATATATTTATATCTACATGTTACTGTTACAGCAGCAGGTCGTGTCTTTCATACCGGGTCGTAGCAAAAGCGCGACTTAAAATATATGCAATAGCCAGCGACCAACCATTGACGTTCCAACCGCACTTAGCGTACACGAAATTCACAAGCAAACGCAAAGTTCGTACGCAAATGATTGCTTGCTTTACACGGCTAATTACCGTACCCGCACATAGATACGACGTAAACGTATGCGATCATGTGTAGGCGCTACTAAGAGTACATGTATAGTATCAAGAATACATAATAGAGATCTCTATTATGTACTCTTGTCTGTCTCTTGATAGTATAGTGACGCATGGAGACCGTACATCTCTGTTCACGTACTCCTGGCGCTACATCATCCCCCGTGACTATAACAGCAACCGCTGTCAATACATCCGCGAACTGCAAACTCTCAGCATGCCAGTAATCTATCCTCATACCACGTACTTTAGCGATCGTACCAACAACCCTCCTCAATCACCTCCCACACTTGCCGTCTCTAGGCGATTATAATTAGTCAGTAGTTCCCATGTTTCGTAGAAGCCGTACTACATGTCTACTAACGCTCTATCAACACTGTGTACACGCCCATATATATCTATGTTGCCAAGCGGTGGTCATCGTAATTCGAGTGTTTACACATGTGCAGCAGCACTGTGAGTAATGTGAGGACAGGGCGCCTCCGCCGGGGTTATCCCCAGCCAGAATTCTCAGCATTGGCAGACCAGCTGGCAGCATCTCTGAACAGTAGCTAGTAAATCAGCATGCGCTACCGAAATCGGATTGGGTCTACGGGACCTGACTGAGAGGAGCGGATGCTTCGAAAGACAGGGGTGGAAAGAGAAGGAGAGAGGGAGGGAAGGAGGGGAGGGGTGGAGAAAGTGAGGACGGGAGAGAGGGGGAGGGAGGAAGAGAGAGGGAGGGGCAGAAAGGGAGAGCGGAAGGGTGGAGGGAGAGAAAGAGAGAGAGATAGAGGAAGGAAGGGCGAGAGAGAGACAGAGGGGGGAAAGAGGGAGTGAGAAAGAGCGGGTATCTCTGCACGGTACGTCTACTCTGTGTAACTAGTACGCACGTGGCCGAAATTGTGGCTACGATACTACGCGAGTAACTAAGCCACTAGGCATGTTCACGGGCGCACGCATCCAGCTGTTTCTTCTTCGACAGTTTATTGCCAAAACAAACCGGCACTACCTGACTGGAGGTCTCGTATTTTTCATTGAGAATGCGGGCGCTAGATAATTGAAATAATGTTTCTTCATGAAAGATTTCGTTTGATCCGACGTGCACATGAGTTCAGGGTAAGTTAAATACCCCATTACATGCGTGCGCGCGAAGGGGCGTGCGTGAGAGAAAGAGAGAGAGAGAGAGAGAGAGCGAGAGAGAGAAAGAGAGAGAGCGCGCGCGCACGCGTAAAAGAGAAACCAGCGCGTCTGGAATGAATCTGGCATACCGGACCTTCACAGCATCCTTCGCCACTCGTCACGACACCGGGCAATGTGGCGCTACGCTTCCACGCCTGCATACCAAGCCTAAAACCCACAGGCACTTGAGACAGTCAGTAAAAACTGAAAATAATATGAACGCACATTCACAAATACTACCATAGGCCCTACCTCTCAATTACAGTTCCACTGTTGTGTCACTGTACATCAACTTCCCTTCATAAAAACTAACGCCGAACGCTCCCGCATTCGCCGCTGCGAGTGTGCTGTGTCGCCATGATAATGATGAAAATAATATATAAGCAGCTGTCCCAAGTGCCCGTACTAAAAACCAAGCGAGCCGCGTAGGAAATACCGGGACTGACGCGCGCGAAGGAGTGAACCTGAAACTCAACCTGCCGGGAGAGAGAGAGAGAGAGAGAGAGAGATGCGTGATAGCAGGAGGCAGAGACGCTGGTCTCTGCTGGCAATTATGTATACCGACTGGGCCACGGCCCACATCTGGAAGCGCGCGCTGCCGTGGCAGGCAGGCAGGCAGGCAGGGGGATGCCGCGGCTGGGTGTAAGCGATACGGCAATAAGGAGTGGCGCAACCGGTACCCGCGGAGGCCTCCACTGACGGAGAGAGAAAAGAAGTTGCTAATTAGAGTGTCGTGAGCGCTTCTCACCCCACATTTACGACTCGCGTGTAATCGTAGCGGGAAGAGAACAGGGGCTTACGCTTCTCTCTCTCTCTCTCTCTCTCTCTCTCTCTCTCTCTCTCTCTCTCTCTCTCTCTCTCTCTCTCAGTCTCCTCTCTCTCTCTGCTCTCGCTCTCGCTCTCGCCTCTCTCTCTCGCTCTCTCCTCTCTCTCTCTCTCTCTCTCTCTCTCTCTCTCTCTCTCTCTTCTCTCTCTTCTCTCTCTCTCTCTCTCTCTCTTCTCTCTCTCTTCTCTCTCTCTCTCTCTCTCTCTCTCGCTCTCGCTCTTCGCTCTCTCCTCTCGCTCTCTCCTCTCGCTTCCCTCTCTCGCTCTCTCCTCTCTCTACTCTCTCTCTCTCGCTCGCTCCGCTCGCTCTCTCTCTCTCTCTCCTCTCTCTCTCTCTCTCTCGCTCTCTCTCTCTCTCTCTCTCGTCACTGTCTCCTTCTCTCTTCTCTCTTGTCTGTCTCTCTCTCTCTCTCTCTCTCTCGGTCTCTCTCTCACTATTTGCATGCCAGCACAGCAGCACAAGACAACGGGCTACCAGCGCCTATGTGCTCTCCTTCCCACGATAAATCACTCTGGGTATTACATAGTTCTACCGGCGTAGTCTCTCCGTTCCCGCTACAGGAGCTATTCCTGTAGCGGGTGCGATGGGGCTACATCAGCAGAGCTAGGTATTACAGAATTGTGAAAGAATTCAAAACAGGATCATTTCATCGAGAAAATACTATATGCACACAGTCAGGCGAGATGCAGATACCCATTCGCTGTGCAGTGCAACGTAGCGAAGCCATTCGGCCGCCCTAACAGACAGACCGCACTTACAATTTAGTATTCGGCTGTAACCCGTTAGCACATACTCATCACTCAAGCGCAACCAACCACCGATGATAGAGTTAGGCTAATATAAAAAGCAAAAGTAAGATCATACAAACCAGTTAGCTACAGTAACTCGGACGACAACAACACACGACAAGCCGAAGCGATTCCACGAAATAAAAATCTCCCTCACCAGACCGCAGGTCGCTACCAAATAGATCACGCTACCTACTGCCTCATCTCAGTTCATCTGCATACTAGAGAGGGACGATGTGCTCTCACCTGAGCATGGCTGTGTATGTGTGTGTAGGGGGAGGGGGGGGGGGTAAGCTCAAGTCGGGGATTTGGCGCTCCATCGATCTACCAGCCTCGTTTGTTTCTTCGAAATGAGACGCGAACAACAACGCATGGAATGCGGTCTGGGCCTGCCACCAAGCCTCCGTCCCTTCGTCTCACTAGGATACGGAGCTGGCGGTAGAGCGCACACACCCACGCACGCACGCGCTATGCGAGAAATACGATATTTTAACACAATATTTTAAGCCCGTCTATCAACACAATCTAACCGAGCAGCAGAAGCAAGTTCAAGCAACCCATCCCACTGCCACTATCCATTCTATCTCTAACTGAACCCCTAGCATTACACACGCCCCTGCACGTGTACACGTCCGTGCGTTTGCAATGAATGTAAAAGGGTCAACATTTCGCGTGCTTATCTCTGTATTGAGTTCTTATTATTTTTAAACAAGCAAACGCCGTATGAAAAATGCACACAAAGACACGCCAATTACCTGTGCGTATGTGAGCTTCTAATTTTAGACAATGCCTCGAAACATTTTTCGACTACATCGAAGCATTTTAATGACTTTATACTCTACACTCTCTAGACAAATGCGTCCATGCTTAAAAAGAGATACATATACGCACACCCACCGAAACACACGGGTGCAGTGAAAGATAAGAAGGAAGGAAAGCGAGTTGCAACTTAGTTTTCATTGATGCAATTTTAAAATGCGACCCATTCAGAGATAACTGGGCATTTAATACAGACTACAGAGTATGCCAATACAATGTAACAACTACGTCTAAACCAGCCAATCTGCGCTGTCATATTGCGTAGAGTACACACAGACATCTTGACCTTTGCGTGACTTATGTATAGCTTCCAACCGTAGCAGGGAATTACTATGCACTTACACTTTGGAATCGCTTAGAATGCGTGGTGTACGTTACACTATTGTGTTATGCAAACAACTGCACCTGCCCACGCTCACATATCGAGTATATCGAACATTTATACGACGGTTATAATATTAATAACTGCGAGCAGGAGACACGATACACATGCGGGCTGGGCGCACACATGGAAGACCGAACTTGGCAAGCCTGTTTGAAATCTAGGCCAGATGAAGTTGAGTACACATAAGTGCATATGACATAGAGCCCGAGAACTTTCCATCAACTCTTGTGATCTAATGCAGCCAGCATTTAAAGGGGTCTACATTTTTTTGGGATTGGCATTCAAATTCGCCTACGCAAGCAGTTTTATAAACTCAAAGTTTGTAGAGAAAGAATTGGTCTTCCCAGTTTAAAAAAAAATTGGAATGGCTAGTCCGCTTCACCATGACCAACACATCGGGGACTTGCAACACTGAGATAGAAATGATAGCAGATCAGTACTAAAGCTCACTGCCCTAGAAATGATAGTAAATCAGCACATTCCAGCCTGTGCTAGCGGTCACTTCTATAAAAAGAACACATGGCCGTAAAGGTGACTTTCTGCATGCACCTTGCGCGACCTTTACACATGGGTTTGTCTGTATTTAAATTTTAATATAACTCACCACTGTCACTGGGTGTCTGCACGCCGGGCGGTACCGCCTTCCGTCTGTCCGATCCGGTGGTACTGCTCGGGCTGCTGGGATTCGTACAGCTGCCACTACTGCTACTCCGGCAACTGTAACTGTGATCGGAGTTGTACGGGTAGGGGAAAACCTGCGCCGGGTCTACGCACTCGGTGGAGCTGTACTCTTGTTTCTCGGACGCCGCCGTCGCCGCCACAGGCAAGGCGACAGAGTTTGTGTAGTCGTCGTCACACGTCGATATCGTCCGGGTCGCCCCGTCGCCGTTGCGATACAAAGTCGACTTTGAGTTTGTTTTTCGTGCGGGTTTTGCGACAAGGTCCTCGATCGAGTAGCCGACTGACCACATGCAGTCCTGAATGAGCGGCGAGCGAAGGAAGCTGCTGTCAAGTCCCGTGCACGGTTTCACAGAATCCTCGAACGTAGCTATCAAGTCGTCGATGGTTGTCAGGTCGTCAAAGGGCTTCACAAGGTCCGGGGCTTCGTCGTCTGAGCCGTGCATTGGCGACAGCGGCGGTGTCGGCAACAGCTCAAACTTCTTCCACATGTCCTCGGAGTACAGGTGCGTGTTGCACGACTCGGCAAACCCGCACAGCTGACAGTCGGCGCAGTCGCCGAGCGAAAAGTTAGCGTCGAGCGAGGCGGTCGGGGCCGACGGGTCGCCGGTCCCCAGTAGCGCGGGCATCGTGTCTGCCGGAGCCCTGCAAGTTGCCGAACTACTTACTACCTGTGTACTCGGTGACGCAAAAGCGGGGGATGAACACACTACAGCGATTCAGCCAAAAACTGTTCATGTGCAACACTTATCTGCAGAAGGAAAAGCAAAGATTCAGTTGTCAATCAAGTCAATTGTCAAACTAAGTTGCACGTGTACATACTATACCAATCGCACACATGCGTACACTCGAACACGCATATATACACACGCACTAGTTATACACGCGTGCACGCATACACACGCACACGGTTATGCAGGCAGTCAAGTGCCTAATAATTGAATTTGTGCGATCAGTGTATCTTCATGTCCTAACACAGAAACAGTAACAGCAGCACACAATCAACCACAATAATATACGCTGTGGCTATATGCCCGGCAGCCGGGCACGGTCTTCGATTTCCTAAATGCCCGGCAGTTCCTAACCCTAACCCTTGTTTACTTGAGATAACGCTGAAAATAAAAAACTGCCGGGCATATAGCCACTCTGAATAATACACACTTGTAAAGTGAATATCTCAGGTGCGAACATGCTGAGACTGAATGCAGTCCGTAGCTGTGTGTACTACAACTTACAGCCGCGTGTAGCATTGCGACCTTGGAGTATCATAATGGTTGCTATGTACATATCGATCAATCTTACGAGCCACTCACGGCTATTACTAAATCTCGTAAAATTAAAACCGGTAAGCTTAGTTACGCACTACAACTACAACTCGTACAAGTACAAGTCTTGCACACAATCTACCGATCTAGGCCTACACAAGCCATAGTACTCGCCCACATTTACGGGAAGCAGCGACACGGTTTCCACACGGTTTCCACATAGTGCGATAGTGTTGTGTATTGATCGACTCCGTGTCTCAACGATCACACATCGCCCCTAAGCTAAACTAGAGTAGATACACTACTCTACTAGTACTACGTATACTCACTCACTCACCCCACCGCCCCCTAGTCTCTAGTCAGTGAGTCACTAGTATATTACCGACTAGTAGTACTAGTAGTACTCACAGTCACTGTAGGCCTAGTTATCATTCGACGACAAAATAACATTAAAATCAAACGTACAACTCACAACAACTACACTAGCTTAAAAAATATACATAAACCTACGAACTTACATAAATGTCACCAGTGTCCGATGCGTACTTTCATAGATAATCGTGATAAAACAACAACATCGGGCAGCTTAGACACACCACGTCAAGAATGCGCGCGTCTGGCCGGCTTATGAAAGAAACATGGATACAGCATTCTTCACGCCACCATCGCCCGTATCAATGCGATGTGGGTTCATGACCGTATCAAGCAAGAGCCAATAACCAAGCAAATATCGATCACATTATAAAAATTTGTTGTTAATGTATACATTAATTACATTTAAGTACAATAAAGTCAACCTACTGTCGGTTTATAAGAAATTTAACAGTGCCAGACACTGGAACTATATCTCTCGTGTGGCGGATGAGCACCAGACGGTAAGTGATGAGGCGACTGGCGGGAATGCAGCCAACAGTAGGCGGAGCCACCGCGCAGCTATCCAATTAAATCGCTGCATGGATTTACGTGAATCGGGCGAGCGCCGGCGGGGATGTATGAGTTTACGCTCAAAGGTTTCAATCGGTCACTGGGCGAATTTTACCTTTTAAATATTCGAAACCACGCTGTCGGTACGATAGTACTCGTGTTTGCTGCACATTGGACAGTTTAAAAAAATGAGCCAGAATCGCTCCGCGACGATCATATGGTACGATACAGTTCACATAGATGCCGAGATTGATGACTTTGTAAAAAGAAATAGATAAAAAGCTGAAGTATACGAATTTGCATTTAACGACTAAAAATGGTGCAAAAATGCCGAATGACGTTTGACACCTTATTAAACCTGGATCAACTTGCGTGCAATTTTAATTGCGATAGCATATCGCCATTCATCGCCGTTTTAAATGTCATGGTGGCCAATATCGTCTGCCCACGGCGCAATCCAAGATAAGAACCGAAACATCAATGGCACACCTTTGTTCGGTTTGTTTGCCGCGACACGTAACACGCGTTGAGTAAATAAAAGCAGACGCCACTGTTTCCTGCGTTCTCGGAAAATAACGTCGGGTGTGTGTGTGTGTGTATCTATACTCGGCCCAAATACGCTGTACGCCGCCGGATAAGTCGCTCGTCTTTTTTAGACGTTGCGTGATAAACTCGCGCGTAAACTAGCTTCGCCTCTCTCACGGTAACGTAGTACGATAGTGTGCCGCGAGAAATTCGCAGGCAGATAAGCTGTACAGGCGCAGACGCACACAGTCGCCGTTGGTAACGACGTTAGGTGCGGCTGCATGATCGTATCATCTTCATTGACCGATGAACGAGCGCGGCTCAGATATCATCTTTAGCAGTCAGCTGAGAGTAAGGAGGGTCCATTTAAACTATTGGTTCGCTATAAGCTATAGATTTCACGTAAGCCATAGGGTCCATGTAAGCTACACACCCTGTGTAAACTATAGGCTCTGTGCAAGCTATAGACTCCGTGTAAGTTACCGGCCCTGTGTATGTAAACTATATATGCCCTTTGTAAGCTATGGGCCCTGTGTAAGCTATAAGCCCTATGTAAGCTATCGGCTCTTTGTACGTAATAGGCTCTGTGTAAGCTATATGCCCTGTGTAAGCTATCGGCTCTGTGTGTGTAAACTTACTAAACTATATGCCCTTTGTAAGCTACAGGCCCTGTGTAAGCTATAGACCCTATGTAAGCTATCGGCTGTTTGTAAGTTATGAGCTCTGTGTAAGCTATATGCCCTGTATAAGCTATAGGCCCTGTGTAAGCCATAGACCATGTGTAAGCTATAGACCCTGTGCAAGCTAAAAGTCCTATGTAAGCTATGGGCACTGTGTAAGCCATAGACCCTGTGTAAGCTATAGACTCTGTGTAAGCTATAGATCCTATATGTAAGCTATGAGCCCTGTTTAAGCTATAGATCCTGTTCATAACCGCGTGTATGCTGTGAAGCTTGTATAAGCAAAAGGTCCTGTCTGAGCTGGAAACCTCGTGTAATGGGCTGGGCAGCGGGGCAATCCTTGGTGGGAAGGGTAATTTTCGGTCGTTTAGCAGCTTTGCGGTAAACGGTCCACGCTGTTTCTGACGTACAGGTTGTCCGTCTGTCAGTCGTCGCCAGCGGCCGACCACACAGACAGCTGCGCATCTATAATTCTAAAGAACGTCACGTGCGTTATCATGCACCGATTCAAAGCGATAATAAGCTTCCAGCGGGGAGTTTCTGTTACCTTCAGCTTAAATACGCCCACACGCAACGCATCCTTAAAAATCTGCGGAGCTATAAGTACATATACTTATGTCAGTCTGTATACATTTCTCTACAGACACATATGCACATACACGTTTCTCGTCCTATATATATCAAGAGTAGATAATAGGAGATCTCCTATTATGTACTCTTGATAATATATATACTTATATATATATACTTATATATATATACATATATATATATATATAGATATATACATATATATATATATATATATATATATATATATATATATCCGCAACAGATTGGTGGGGCACGACGCCGTTCAAATACTGGCACGCAGCCTTTACAAGTCAAGCCGCGTTCTCACCAACAACCGCCTCACAAAGACACGACGGGAGAATTCCGTCGCTGCTGCTGCTGCTTAATGATATGCACGTCTGCAGCACGACCCATTTACCGCGCGGCCCATTATAACCACATACGCGGCTTTGTGTGTGAAGGGGGGGGGCCGCACCGGGGTGCTCGTGAATGGAGCTGTTGTCTCCACGTCGTCCAGCCTCTTCGTCGTCGGTAGTATGCGGAGTAACGCCGTCGGCAGCACCGGAAGAAGAGTCGACGCCCGTGGCAGAGGGCGAGGTGGTGGTCGACGCAAACGAACGCCGCCGCAGTACACTCCCGCCTAGTTTAAAAAGGGGCAAAGTTGGCCGACGGAGCGCTGTGTGTGTGTGTGTGTGTTGTGTGTGTGTGTGTGTGTGTGTGTGTGTGTGTGTGTGTGTGTGTGTGTGAGTGTGTGTGTGTGTGTGTGTTGTGTGTGTGTGTATGTTATGTGTGTGTGTGTGTGTGTGTGTGTGTGTGTGAGTGCGTAAGTGTGTATGCGTATGTGCGTGCGTGCGTGCGTGCGTGCATGCTGGCGGGCGGGTGGGCGGTAAGACGGGCGTGTGCGTTCGTGCGGGCGGGCGTATTTGTGTGCGTGCATGTGTGCGTCCGTGCGTGGGTGTTGTGTGCGTGCGTGTTTGTGTGCGTGCATGTGTGCGTCCGTGCGTGGGTGTTGTGTGCGTGCGTGCAGGCGTGTTTGTGTGCGTGCATGTGTGTGCGTGCGCGTTCGCATGTGTTTGCGCGTACACGTGTGTGCGCTCGGCATGTGCGCTAACGTGTAAGCACGCTTGCGCGCGCGTGAGATTTCGTGACGATGTGAGTGCATGGGCATGATTACTGGTACTCTACCACCGGAACAGGCTGTCCCGGACAGCGGATAGGATCCCGCCCACCCGTCTGTTTTGTTACGTCGATTTAAACGGCAAGCGACAACAGTACATTGCGAGCATTTTTCCTCGGTAGTGATGGGGTTCGAGTAGGGTGCAAGGGGATGGTCTACACACAGATGGTCGGGTACGCGATGTGGGGCAGCGAGAACACGTGAATAGTAAAACTCGCGTGTACTATCGCCATTGACGAAACAGCCGTCGAGCAGCAAGCACACACCCGATTCGCGTTTGAATACTAGACTGACTCCGTAAGTCGTTGAGAATCAACGATTACGGACTCAGTCATGCGTAGTTTTAGGATCAGTCTATTCACATTCCACGCAAGCGCGCATGTGTGCGTGCGTGCGGGTAAGCATTCTACCTGATCGAGTCTTGAATGAAGTGACGTGTAAATACATATATTTCGGCAGCAGAGGAACGATTTATGCAGATTTATGAATATTTTTTGCCCAAGAGACAAAATTTGCATGCATGCACACACGTAAACACACGTAAACACACGTAAATACAAACAAACACACACACACACACACACACACACACACACACACACACACACACACACACACACACACACACACACACACACACACACACACACACACACACACACGACACGGCACACACACACACACAAATGCACACACAACACACATCACACAACAAACACACCACACACATACACAACACACACCACACAACACACGCTGCTGGCGCGCGCAGCGCGCGCCACACACAACACGCACACACATATATAATTAATTTTAAAATATTTATTTATTTACTGAAAGTACTAGATAGCAAGAACACAAAACGAGCCATTAATGGAGTTTTATAAGGTCGATTACGCAGCAGCGCAGCAGCGATGAAACTTGCGCGCTGATTATATGTAAGACAGGGGTTACCAAACGCCACGCTTGCGCGCGCACTAGGCGATGACTCACGCGCCAAAGTTCCCACGTCTATTCACGCCGTGATAGAAACGAACGCTAGCGCCTCGACGGAATGAATATCACATTCACACGTCCATATCGACCTCGTGGATATTCTATACGCGAGCCTATGTAATGCCTTCGGCACTTTTGGGCTAGCGAGCAAAAAACGATCGGTTTACCTAGCCCATATCGGCGCAATGGAAATCTCGGCGGATTCTATTTCATGCATGGTCGTACACGAAGACGCTCGCGCATGACGGACTTAAAACTATGCCTCGAAGCTGCTGCCTTTGATTCTCTTCCGATGCTGCTAGGGCGTCGGATGGAGAAGGAGGAGAAGTCAAGGCGACACGCGATGCGGTCGCGCGCGCCTCCGTCAGACCTATATTAATATCCTACGATTACTAGTAGCGACGCCGCTCTTATTACTAATTTCCCGGTAGCCATTAACGGCGATCAATGTAGCGTTTACCCACAAACAAAATCGCACGGAAGTGAGCGAAAGTCGCATAAGAAAGAGATTACATGTACACCTTGTCATGCAAGGGTATAGAGGCGGAAGAGCGCGTGTCTCGGCATAAGAAAGGTAAAAGCATAGATAGTTAGATAGATAAGATGAATGGTTGGGTGGATGAGATGGATGGATGGATGGATAGGCATGGGATGGAGTGGATGGATGGATGGATGGATCATGGGCATGGATGGTGGTGGATCGGATGGATGGAGCGGACGGACAGACACGGAGGCACCGGACCGGGACGAAGAGACGGACTGGACGGACGGACGGACGGACGGACGACGGAACGATAAATGTATGCGCATTGGACTGCGATGAATGGATGGATGGCATGGGATGATGGAATAGATTTGGTATGGATGGAATGATGGCATTAGGACATGGGACTGGATGGTGGATGGATGGATGGATGGTATGGATGGATGGATGAAATGGATGGATGATGGATGGATGGATGGATGAATGGATGGTGAATGGTATGGATGGCCATGCATGCGATGATGGATGGATGGATAGAATGGCATGAGCATGGATGGATGGAATATGATTGCATGGATGGATTTGGATGCGATGGCGATGGATGGATGGAATGATGGATGGATGGATGGAATGAGATGGATGGGGTGGCATGGATGGCCGATTAGATGGATGACATGGATGAGATAGGATGGATGGGAATGAATGGCATGGATGGATGGATTGGAAATGGATGGATGGATGATGGATGGATGGCAATGGATGGTCCAGTGGATGGGATGGATGGAATGCAGATGGATGAGAATGGATGGATGGATGGCCTGGTGGCGGACGGGATGGATGGTATGCGATGGGATGGATTTATGGGCGGCGGCGGGCGCGCGCGGCGCAGGGCGGGGCATGAATGTATGGATGATGGATAGATGGATGGTATGATGGATGGACGGAGGACGACAAACGGAACGGACGGACTGATGGACGAACGGCACGGACGGACGGACGGAGGGACGGACGACGGACGTTCGGACGGTACGAACGGACGGCGGATCGGACGGACACGGACGGACGGACCGACGGACTGGCGACGCGACGGACGGACGGAGGAACGGGACGGAGACGGACGGACAGACGGACGGGTATGGGATGGATGGATGGATAGGATAGATGGATCGTGGTTGTATGGAGGATGGCATGGATGGATGCGATGGTATGGATGGATGGATGGGATGGATGGATGGCATGGACGGAGTGTACGGAGCGGACGACGGACGGCGGGACGGACGGAAGACGGGACGAAGAATCGGACGGATGGAGCGACGGACGGACTGGATCGGACGGAGCCGTACGCGACGGACAGGACGGACGGCGGACGTGACGAGAACGGACGGATGGGTTGGGATGGCTATGCGATGGATGGGATATTGATGGAATGGATGAATATATAAGATGGATGGATGGATGCGATGGATAGAATGGCATGGATGGATGGATGGATGGTATGATTGGCATGGATTTGATGGATGGATGGATGGATGGAATGGGCATGGATGGATGGATGGATGGGATGGATGGTGGATGGATGTATGGATGGATGGATGGATGGATAGGATGATGGATGGATGGATTGATTGGATGGTGGATGGATGGATGGATGGATGGTATGGATGGATGGTGGCGATGGATGGATGGTATTACGGATGGATGGATGGATGATCGGTATCGGATGGATGGATGGAATGGTTATTGGATGGATGGATGGATGGCTGGATGGATGGATGATGGATGGATGGATGGATGGATGGATTGCATGGATGAGATGGATGGCATGGATGGATACTTGGATGCATGGATGGATGGATGGATGGATGGATGGATGGATGCGATGGATGGATGGATGGATGGATGGATGGTTATGCGCATGGATGGAATGGATGGATGTATTGATGGATGGATGGATGGATGCGATGGATGGATGGATGATGATTGGATGCATGATGGTATGGATGGCATGGATGGATGGAATGGATGGATGAATTGATGGATGGATGGATGATGGATGCGATGGATGGATGAATTGGATGGATTGGATGGATGGATGATGGATGGATGGAGGTATGGATGGATGGCAATGGATGGATGGATGGATGGATGGATGAGTATGGATGATGGTGGAGGACATGGATGGATGGAGGATGGGATGGATGATGCGCTGATGGCGGTGATGATGGATCGGATGGATCAAGGATAGACAGATTAGATGGGATAGATAGATAGATAGCATGGATAGACTAGCATTAGATTAGATAAATAAAAATATCATAGATAGATAGATAGATAAGATAGATAGTAGATAGATAGATAGATAGATAGATAGGATAGATACGATATGATATGTAGATAGATAGATAGATAGATAGATAAGTTAGATAGTTAGGATAGATAGATAGATAGATATTTAAATAGATATGATAGCATAGATAGATTAGATAGATTAGATTTAGATAGATAGATAGATAGATATGATAGATAGCATGATAGATAGATAGAATAGATATATAATATAAATATGATAGATAGATAGATTAGATAGATTAGATAAGATAGATAGATAGATAGATAGATAGATAGATAGATAGATAGATAGATAGATAGATAGATAGATAGATAGATAGATAGATAGATAGATAGATAGATAGATAGATAGATAGATAGATCGAGGGGGAGGTGTAGAGCGTGATGAGCGTTAGACGGATAGATCTATTATGATATTAATAGAGAAGAGAAGCTGTCGGTCCATCGACATGCACACAATCATTCACGGATTCTATTTATTCACGCGTTTTACGACTATCCTCTGCGTTACGCCTTCTATGTTGCATTTTGCGAACCGGCTGGAAATTCTAGCTTAATTGCCCAGGCGCAAGCAAACATCGTCTACGCGAAACTACATTTCAGATATGGCCGCTCGCGCGTCGCTTCGGAAGAAATTGGACGTTTGAAATTACGTTCTAAGCGCGCAGCTGTCTGTCTGGCTAGCCAGACCGTCTGCGATTTTATAAGCTGGCACGTTGTGTATCGGATACCGGAGGCTGCTAGGACGGGGGTGGCGTTTCGTGTAGTATATCATAACACTTTTTGCTCTCGCCTACCTCTTTCCTCAGCCTCCCTCAGCGTAGCACCCCCTTCGGGTTTCCTCTGTCCATTGTGGATCTTGTGTCTTTGTTCAAGACTCCCCAACATGAGCAGTTGTTTTACCAGCCTCCCTCAGCTTAAAGAGCACCCCCACTGTTTTCTCCAGCCTCCCTCAGCTTATGGAGCATCCCTACCGTTTTCCCCAGCCTACCTCAGTCTACAGAGCATCCCCTACCGTTTTTCCTCAGCCTCCCTTATTCTACATAGCATCCCCACCGTTTTCCTTAGCCGCCCTCATCCTACATGGCATTCCCACCGTTTCCCTCAGCCTCCCTCATCCTACATAGCATCCCCTACTGTTTCCCCCTGCCCCCCGGCTTACATAGCACCCCCCACCGCTATACTCAGCCTGCATAGCATCCCCCATCGCTATTCCCAGCCTCGCTCATCCTGCATAGCACCCTCATCGTTTTGCTCAGCCTCCTTCATCCTGCATAGCACGCCCACCGTTTTCCTCAGCCTCCCTCAGCTTACATAGCATCCCCACCGTTTTCCCCAACCGCCCTTATCCTGCATAACATCCCCCACTGCTATCCCCAGCCTCCCGCAGCTTACATAGCATCCCCACCGTTTTCGTCAGCCTCCCTCAGCTTACATAGCATCCCCCACCGCTATCCCCAGCCTCCCTAATCCTGCATAGCATCCCCCACCGCTATCGCCCAGCCTCCCTCAGCGCCATGCTACGCAGTATAGGTACTACTCGCCACGGAATTGAATCCCTATCGCCGGCTGTTCGGGGGTAACGATCTTTAGTCAGCAGAGAGCCGTGCGCATGCGCGCGTGCGTCGCGAGTCAGTGCTCCTCTAGTTCGTATTTACGCCACCCGCTGCCTGTAGATGTGTGTGTGTGTGTGTGTGTGTGTGTGTGTGAGAAAATAGCCCCGGTCTGGGCGGATTCGGCTAAGTTTAGCTTCGCATGGGTCTCGTCGCCGTGCGTACCGATTAGCCTTGGCACGGAGCGTCAGCATTAATCAGCGCAATAATTGAGCGTGATAGCTGCTGCAACAACGCGGGCGGCGCTGGGTTCACGGGCCGCCCGCCGAGCGCCGCGCTCGCACGCACGCACACACGCACGCACGCACCCACGCACACATGCACGCGCCAGTAATGACAGATCGTAACAGCGTACGATCGACGAATCACCGACTAAACGAACAAATAACTGACGAACAAATAAAACGGGGGTTGCATCGATAAAGCGAGGCGGAGCGCCGCCAGCGTCATCGTCAGTCCTGCCAGCGTCATCGTCAGTCCCGCCATCGTCATCGTCCGAATACATCATCGTCTAAAATGTACCTATCACGCGCATATCGGACGAGAGTGGATGCAAGCCGCAGCTTCGGGCTGGATGCGTCTAGATTCATCAAAGGTGTTTAGTGCGGCTGGCTGGCGCAAACTAGGTCTCCTATTTCATCAAGCTGATTAACCGACTTCGGCGTAGCGCACCGCGACTTAGGTGCGATTCGCTAAGCTGCTACGCCGACGTCCACTCTGATTAACCGCATGCCGCACCTAGGGTCGTATAACGAACACTGTGCGCGCGCGTTGCGTGCACGCGTTTGCTGTCGTAACCGCGACACGTCGTCGATGAAGAGAACAACAGCGGGAGCTTGCGTTACACGTCTTAGCGTCAAGCGCGCTTTGCTGTCACGCTTTGCTCTGAGCCGATTACTGCTCGCCTGCATGGCGATATGATGCTGCGTGCGATACACGCGCGAGATAGTGCAGGCCATGTTCGTAACAAGGCTACTAAACACGCGACAGCAGCAACAGCAGCAGCAGCAACAACAACAATAATAATAATAATAATAACAACATTAGCAGCAGCATTAGCAGCAGCATTAGCAGCAGCATTAGCAGCAGCATTAGCAGCAGCATTAGCAGCAGCATTAGCAGTAGTAGCAACAGCCGCGTTAGCATAAGCAGGAGCAGCAGCAACAGCAGAAGCAACAACAGGAGCAGCAGCAACAACAACAACAGTGTTAGCAGCAGCAGTATAGCATTAGCAGCAGCAACAGCAACACGCATGCATTCACGTCGCACGCCGCTGCAATTGTAAAACTCGCTCACGTGCTTCGCGCCAAGCGAAATGATTACGGTGTTTCCATGGAAACGATTCAATTCTAGAAACGCTGGGAGAGAAAGTGAAATTGCTAGCGCTTATGAACGCGTTCCAGTCTATTCTGCGCATGCGCGTGACCGTTGCGTGTCGCACGCTACGATCGTAGGGTACAATAACGCGGGAATAAAACCATTGGCTGTGTTGCTCAAATTTGCGCGCGTTCTCTCGTGGCCCACATAACGTATAGGCGCGATGCATAAACGAACGAAAGTCTATTTGCACTAAATTAATGTGTTGGGGAATGGTGCAGTAACGGGATGTGTGCGTGTGCGTGTGCGTGTGCGTGTGCGTGTGCGTGTGCGTGTGCGTGTGCGTGTGCGTGTGCGTGTGCGTTTGCGTTTGCGTGCGCGTGCGTGCGTGCGTGCGTGCGTGCGTGCGTGCGTGCGTGCGTGCGTGCGTGCGTGTGTGTGTGTGTGTGTGTGTGTGTGTGTGTTGT